CCTTGATATATTTGAGGGACTCATGGTCACTATGAATTACAAATTCCTTGGGATAAAGGTAGTGTTGCCATGTTTTCAAAGCCCTTACTAAGGCATACAACTCCTTATCATAAGTTGAATAGTTAAGGGTAGGACCACTTAGCTTTTCACTAAAATAAGCAATTGGATGGCCTTCTTGCAACAACACATCCCTAATCCCAACATTTGAGGCATCACACTTAATTTCAAAAGATTTTTGAAAGTTTGGCAAAGCAAGTATGGGGGCATTAGTTAGCTTTTGCTTAAGAGCATTGAAAGCTTCTTCTTGTTTCTCTCCCCATTTGAAACCAACATTTTTCTTGAGCACTTCATTGAGAGGTGCTGCCAATGCGCTAAAATTCTTCACAAATCTCCTATAGAAACTTGCTAAACCATGGAAAATTCTCACTTCGGTCACAGACTTAGGTGTAGGCCTTCTTGAATAGCCCTAACCTTTTCCTCATCCACTTGTACTCCTTTTGAACTCACAACAAAACCAAGAAACACAACATGGTTAGTACAAAAGATGCATTTTTCAAGATTGACATACAATTGTTCTTCTCTAAGCACACACAAGACAAATTTTAAATGATCAACATGTAATTTAAGTGAAGTGCTATAGATAAGAATATCATCAAAGTACACCACAACAAATTTTCCTATGAATTTTCTCAAAAATGGTTCATTAATCTCATGAAAGTGCTAGGAGCATTAGTTAAGCCAAAAGGCATAACCAACCATTCATACAAACCATATTTTATTTTGAAAGCAGTTTTCCATTCATCCCTTACTCTAACCCTAATTTGATTGTATCCATTTTTTAAATCAATTTTAGAGAAGTAACATGCACCATGAAATTCATCAAGCCTAGGTATAGGATGCCTATATTTAATGGTGATGTTATTAAGGGCTCTACAATCGGAACGCATGCATCATGTCTCATCCTTTTTAGGAACCAAAATTACCGAGACAGCATAAGGACTCATGCTATCTCTTACCCATCCCTTACCAATGAGTTCATCCACTTGTCTTTGGATCTCCTTGGTCTCTTGAGGGTTGCTTTTATAGGCTGGCCTATTAGGCAAAGAAGCTCGCAGAATGAGATCAATTTGATGCTCAATACCTCTTAATAGTGGCAACCCACTTGGTACACTTGTTGGAAACACATCTCCAAATTCTTGCAAAAGAGACTTCACACTAGAAGGCAAATCAAGGTTATCAAAAGTGTTAGTGGTCAAAACATAGTTTTTGCAAATTAACAAAAATAGGGGCTGTTTAGATAGAAACAACCTCTTGACCTCACTTTTTGTAGCTAAAAAGCTCTCCTTCACCTCAAGTGTTTCATTCTTCTTTTTCCTCTCATGTGTTTCTTTCTTTTTGTCCTCACTTTTTGAGTTCTCAAGTGTTTGGCTTTCTTTTTCTTTCTTTTCTTGGACAATCTTTTCTCTCATTTTTCTTTGATCCTCACACACCTCTTGCAGACTCAAAGGTTTGAGCACTATCTTCTTATCTTGGTGCATGAATGAGATTTTATTGGTGAAACCATCATGATTGGCTCTTTTATCAAATTGCCATGTTCTTCCCAAGAGTAAGTGGCTAGCCTCCATAGGAACAACATCACAAAGCACCTTATCATTGTATCTTCCAATGGAAATATCCAACTCTACTTGCTTCCTTACTTGCACCTCTCCATCCTCACTAAGCCATTGAAGCCTATATGGCCTACGATGTGGCTTTGTAACTAAATTCAATTTAGACACAAGTCTTGCACTCGCCACATTGGTGCAATTCCCTCCATCAATGATCACCATGCAAAGTTTACCATTGATCAAACATCTAGTATGGAAGATGTTTTCTCTTTGGCTCTCCTCCAAAGGCTTCAATTGGCTACCAAGTAACTGCCTTATCATCAACAAGTCTCCCTCTGGTGTTTTCTCTACCTCCTCCTCCACGTCCTCATTCTCCTCTCCCTTTTCAATTTCGGACTCACTCATATACTCTCCATCTCTAAGAATCATGGTTTTTTTGTTAGGGCACTCATATGCATAGTGTCCTAAGCCTTGACACTTAAAGCACTTCACATCTCGACTCCTTTTAAAGGGTTGCTCTTGAGTTTTTAGAGGAGTTTTTGTTGGTGTAGGCGCTGCACTAGAAGTGGTAGCCCCTCTTCCCTTATCCTTCCAACTAGAAAAACCAAAATTAGTGGAGCTCCTTTTGGCCACACCTTTTCTCTTCAATTGTTGCTCCACTTGGATTGCTTTGTGAAGCAAGTCCTCCATTTCAACAAATTCCTGCAGCTCAACAATATCACGAATATCATTATTCAAACCACTAAGAAATCTAGCCATAGTTACCTCCTCATCCTCTTCTATCTTGTCTTGAATTATGAGCACCTCCATTTCCTTGTAGTACTCCTCAATGCCTTTGCTACCTTGGGACAATTTTTGAAGTTTGAATTTTAAGTCCCTAGAATAGCTTGCCGACACATATCTCTTCCTCATGATCCTTTTCATTTCAACCCATGTATCCACCAATGGCTCCTCATTCCTAGCTCTCTCTTTTTGCAATTTGTTCCACCACACAAGAGCGTAATCGAAAAACTTCATGGCTACAAGCTTTACCTTTTGGGCCTCTTCATAGGTATTACAAGTGAAAGTATGCTCTATTTTCATCTCCCACTCCAAATAAGCTTCTGGGTCACTTCTTCCTTTGAATGGAGGAATAGAAATTTTGACTCCATCAATTCGGTTTTGTCTAGGAGCACTGTCATTCCCTCCTCTCCTCCTTTCTTCTTCATCACGACCTCTATTCTCCAATTGGTCCAATCTTTCATGGAGATCATCATTTTGTTGCCTCATCAATCTCTCCAAATGTTGTGTCAAGGCTTGCATTTGGAAAGGAGAAAGTCCTCCTCCTTGATTAGGATTTCCTTCTGCCATCACAAACAAACAAATTCAAACATTACAAGCAAATAGAAAGTAGAATTTGAAACCTCACCACACTCAAGTGTATCACACAATTATGGCTTTTTCTCTGATGAAAACACTCTTTCCTTTTACCACTCAAATTCTCCTTGGGTTCTTAGGCAATTCAAGAGATTATGGCCACAACAAAGAACAATCCACCAATATGTTCAAGGTAAGGCTAGGTAGGCAAAGAAAAGGCTAACAAATCACAAAAACAAAGGGGTAAAGGAAAATTGGTAAACAAGAGAATTAGTAACAATCCTTTAAGAACACCAATATATTACCTTATAACAAATTGTTGAAAAGCATGAATCATTCAGCCTAAAATTTCTTTTTTTTTGTTGTTGTTTTTTTTATAGGATTTTTTTTGAATTTTCACAAGGGCCTAACTTTTGCAATGATTCAGCACAATCACAAATAATATGAACAATAAGGTAATCAATTGGCAAAAAGAGAATGAAGGAAGGATGTTACCAATTTGATGTTCAAACCCTTAAACTGATATCAACCCTATTTGCACAAGGGCTGACTTAGGATCTTTAGGGTTAGAACCTTGTAGGAAAATTAGAAAATTTAGTGATGAATTTCTGGGCAAATTAGGTGTTGGTTCTTGGTGTTAAAATGAGTGAAAAGGGAAGCAAAAACGCTGGTTTGGTGGTGGCTGGACAAAATTTTAGAAACGACGATATCTTGAGTTATAGAACTCCAATTGAGGTGATTCTAAAATGAGGTGAAAGTTCTTGTTCTGAACTTCAATTTAGGCTCAAGAATCCTTTGGGCAAGTAAAACAAGAGTTATGACTACAAGAAATTCTGAGCAAAAATTGAACTTTCTAGAATTTTAGTTGAACGAATGGTGGAAGGAAAGAATCACTCTTTCCAAGGAAGGCAACACACAAATGGAAGTAAAAGTCCTTTGATACAGCCAAGGTATTCTTGAATCACTCAAGAACTTAGGAGAATCATTCTCACTAAGATAAAAGAGATAAACTCTAATATTTCTGAATCAAACTTAACTTGCTTTATTACTAAAAATGGTTCAGCTTATATAGAAGCTTTACCATCAGAATTACAAAGGTTTTCAATAAAGGAAAATAAATTCCACTTAAGCTAGTAATGATCCACTAACCTAGGGAATGAAAACTACTTAATAACTGATTGTAACTGAAATTGTGCCAACCAAAAGTCACCTAAAAGCCACAAAGTGTGCGCCTCTTGGTCTCCCAAAGGCTGATGCCTAAGTTGCCAATTGGGCTCTTCTTACAACTTGAAATAAAACCAAACTAAAGGCCACTAGTTGATTAACCCCAAAACATAATTTAGTTAACCAACTTTACAAAGGATTGGGCTATTATTTAAAACAAAGTAAACACTTAAAAACTGAAGCAAAGTGGCGCATTAGTCCTCCTCCATTTGGGCCATGATGCAATTCACAACCTTGGTCTTTTCTCCTTGAAACTTGAGCTTGTATTCAATTAATATGGACAACACTTGTTGAAGAGCTTCCTTTACTCTCCTTGCTCTAGCCCTTGTCATAGGTCCTTCAAGTCCTTCAAGTGAATCCTTACCCTTTTTTATGGTCATGTCCTCATCACATGGCAATGAGTTACATTAGCGATTTCATCGTCCAGATTTAAAGAGAGAGAGAAGGTAGAGACTTTAGGTTAAATGATGGTGTAAAAGATAAATTTGGAGGAGGAGAGAAAGCAGACATAATATATCAATTTACTGATGGACAAATTACCATATAAGGAACTAACGAATCAACTTTTTTAGAAAAAAACTAATATATACAACTATTATTATATGAAAGGCTAATTTGTAGGGTTATTCATTTAGAATATATTTTTAAAGTGTGTAAAAAATAAAAAGAAAAAGAATAGAATACAATATAATATGTAATGTTAATTTTAAATAATTTAAATAATGAAATTGTATTTTTAAACTAACATAAAAAAATAACTTTAATGCTTTTTTAGTGTAAAATGTATGATGTTAATTTTAAATAATTTAAATAATCAAAACACGTTATTGCTCGTGCGGTGCACGGGTCGGGTAGTATTCTTAACACTTGCTACTTTCATAAAGAAGACTTGTAACATTTTAGCCTCTCTGACCCACTCATTCCTCTGCTAAAGTTACAAGTTTCTTTCCAATGTTATCTCCATTGAAGAGTCCGACGAAAGAAGGAGGGATACTCTCCACACCCGATGACATGTCTTCAATCACATATAACTTCCCTGTTCGAAGGTAAGCCAAAATTTTTGCCAAAATAACTTCAAAATCACTCATAAAGTCAGCAGCTAAAAATCCTCTAATGGTGATTCTCTTGTACACAACGTCCAGCAGGTTTGGAGAAGCTCTTTTTCCCGCATCAGTGTACTCAGATATTACCCCACATGCAGCCACTCTTCCAAATGCTTTCATGTTAGCAACCGCTGCCTCTAACATCTTTCCCCCAACATTGTCGAAATATATGTCAATTCCATCAGGAAAGTACCTGAGATGATATAAAATAAACTAATCAAACACTAACTATTTATAATTTAACCTTGTTTTGAACTTCTATTCAGAAATAGGCTCATGATTTTATCTGCCAACACTGACAAACCTTTTAAGAGTGGCGTTCAGATCTGCTTCTTCCTTGTAATTGAATGCATCATCAAATCCTAGCTTTTCCTTGAGCAGTGCTACCTATAACATAAGACATTGACAAGTTATTGATGGATTGGGATTTTAAGCTAAATACCCAAGTTAGTATGGAAAGGGAAAAATCCTAAACCTCACCTTCTTCTGGTTCCCAGCACAACCAACAACGTAGCAACCAAAAAGTTTTGCAAATTGGCCTACCAAATTTCCAACTGATCCAGAGGCTGCTGAAACAAAAACCTTTTCACCCTTTTGGGGCTTACACACTTCAAAAAATCCCACATAGGCTGACACTCCACTAAACCCTGCAATAAAGAGTGGACCAAAATAAAATGCGTTTTTCAAACTTGAGTACCGATAGTGAACAGAAATCGACCAATACTGTTAAGGAGTAGTTCATTCAGTGACATGGTCTAGTTTGAGTAAATCTTTAGAGAAGAGAAGTCTTTGTATATAGAAAAAGTTTTACTTTGGTGTTATATATCTACATATATATTGCTCTCTTTTTACGGTCTGAAATGTATTTAGTACAACATTTTTCACATTTTTATTGAAGAACAATAACTTCTTTCAGTGCACAATGCAGCATTTAAGAAAATAAATATCGAAACCTTATTGTTTACAGCACTTGGCAGAAAAACCGAGGAAGAAAACAACACATGAGATGGAAGTGATAAATGATGCGCCATAATAGGTAATTTACCCAGAACTCCAAGATGATAAGAGAGTGGAAATTCAGAGGAGTCTATTTTTTTAATTATGCTTTCTTCTTTGACCACACAGTACTCTGCCCAAGTGAACACTCCCATCACTAAATCATCTTTCTCAAACTTAGCATTCCCTGAAGCCACAACTTTTCCAATAACAAGAGCATCAATAGCCTGGAGAGTACCAACGTGAAACAACTCATGCTAAGAATATACTAATTATTAACAATTAAACAATACATGTATGATCTTTGGCATTCATTCTTCTAGTAAAAGACACATTCAAAATATTCAGTAGCAAAATGATACCTCGCCTGGAGTTATGCGCACTGTAAAGTTTATGGCGCTCTGGGAGGAGCTGTAACTCTTCATGCGGTTAATCTGGTAAGGGTCAATTGAGATGTAGAGATTCTTCACAATGATATCATTAGATCCTGCTTTAACTGGCAGAGCAAAAACCCCATTTTTGATCTCAAAATGGGATTCTTTGGGTGCATCATCAATGTGATGTTTCACTACTATGTATTTGTTTGTCACTTCCATTTTTCAGTTGGTCCAAATCCGTTTCTATGTTCAGGCTAATTGCTCTATGTATCTATAATCATTTATGTATAATATTTAATATTCTCCAACTTGTTTCATATAATATTTAATATTCTCCAACTTGGTTCAATTATTAACTTAGGTAGCATCGAACGAAGATGATCGACAACAAATCACGTCACTATAACAAACGAACGCCGACCACATATCTAATATTAGGAATATTTCCGACATTTCAAAGAGAAGGGACCGCTTGTGCTATCTGACAGCTGGAATCATATGTGAACACCAAGTCTTAAGCCCTCCAGATTCTTTATTACTTCTAAAATATTACAATAATTTAAAATATGAACCAAGTGCAGTACAATTAATTTCTACGGTAAAACTATTGGTACCATGAAAACTCTTATTTGTATTTATTTGATTCATTGAATGAAATAAACAAGTCATTCAAAACTATAAAAGTATAATAATTTTTGTATTAATTATTCATTATAATAATAAATTTATAGAAATATAAAAATTTATTAAATATTTTGACTTTATTTTATATTAATTATATATTATAATAAATCAATTTTCTTAAATAAAATACATTTATTTATAGGTGAACTTGAAATATTAGGGGCAGAGCTACACTTATTTTCTTAATGGGGTCAACTAAAAATATTAAAATATTTTTAAAATTAATATATTAAACTTAACTAATAATTTAATAATTTAGAATAATTAATACTCATATAAATTGTAAAACAATAAAAAAAATATATACAATAATTATTTATGAAAGCTAAGTGGATTCTTCTTGTAACACCCTCATTTTGTAATTTATTACTATTGTAATTAATGTTAGTTATTTGAATTAGAAGTGTTTAATTGATGTGAACTACAGGATATCTTGCTGTAACGAGACAAATCTCGCTGTAGCGAGAATGAGGCGATGGAAATGAAACATTTTGGAGCCCTCTCGTTGTAGCTAGAATCTCTCACTCTAACTAGAATCTCTCGCTATAACGAGAATGCTCTCGCTGTAGCTAGAATGACAGACAGCAAAGGACGAATGTAACTCCCCAAATTTTGTAATATTAATTATTGATAATTATATAAATCTAAATGTATTTTTATGTGTGTATGTATATACGTGTATGCATGACTGGATAGGGTTGAAATGGGCTAAGTGCCTAAGTGTAGGGCATGATACTAGGTTGTTCTCGCTGCAGCGAAAGGGTCCTGGGAGGAAGGACCAGAACTTTCGCCTTCTCGCTGTAGCGATAGACCGACAATTTAGGGTGCATTTCTGGGTGTAGTCTCGCTGTAGCGAGATTTTGCAGAAACTAGAGTGCAGTTTTCTTTGATTTTTTTGCTGTAGCGAGAGGGCGTGTCGTAGCAACGAGAGTGTCGCGGCCAAAAAAGGATTTAAAGGGAGTTAGGGTTAGGGGAGAGTTATTTCTCCCTCTCCCTTTGATTCTTTCATCTCCAAACCCTTTTTCACCGATTATATTGCCTCCAAAGCCGTTCAGAAGCTTGATTGAAGGTTGACTTCATGTGGGGGACGCTTGGAGGTGAGTTTTAATGGTTAGGGTTTCAGTTTTTCATCCCCTTTCTCTGTTTTCGTGGTTCCCCTAAGTTCTCAGGGAGTTTCTCCATGTGTTTTGGATGAAATCCGTGAGGGGGAGCATCTCTTGGTAGATTTAGCGTGTAGGTCTTCAATCCGAGGTAAGGAGGGACTCTATCCTACTCTTTTGCGCATGAATTGTTGTTATTCTGTTGAATATTGTGTTGTGACTGAGTTAGTAGGTAGGAAATTGCTGAGAAATGTAATGTGGGCCATGTGCCGTGATATGTGAACAATATGTGCGTTGATATGAAATGGAGGGATTTGGATTATATGTAAATGTTGTGTGATAGAATGAGTGTGGGCACTTGTGCTGTATATTTGAATGAATATTGTGAAAATGTGGGCTCAAGGGCCGTGTAATATGAATGATAATTTTAGGCTGTGTGCCGTGTACAAGCATGACTATTGCATGCGTGAATGAAATATGTGTGAATGGGCATGTTAGTGTCGTTGTAATGTGCTGTGAATGGTTCAGCGATACACTGGGGATGTGCGAGATGAGGACGATAGAAATACCTTAGGGAAGAGGGAGTGGTGGTGACACCGACTGCGGAACAGGTGCACCACGGGTCACACACTCTCTTCCTGACTAGACCTCTAACCACTATCTTTGCTGAGCGACCCGTGACTGCCCACGTGGTATCCGTGAGGCGGGGGTAACCGACGACCATTCATGGTGTAAATTTGTGATCACAGTGCTATAGTGAGTGTGGCTATTGTGCGTATGCACGAGTTTGTGTGTTGTGCTTGTGAATAAGAAATGCTGTCTGTGATTGTATTTGCTTAATGTATTGGTAACATGTTGGAGGTGAGACTCTATGTTGACTATGTGCTTTTGGGTAGTGTAGAGTACTCACCCTTACATTCAATTTTCAAGTAATCAAGACGATCAGCACTGGACTCAGTAAAGGGACAGATGGAATGCTATAGGACATAGAATTTATTTTGAAAATGTTGTAATTGAACTAGTCCTGTAGTGGTCATTTGATATTAATTTGTAACCCTTCACTTATTTCGAAATCTTTTATGAAAAAATTGGTTATTCAATTTTCAAAATTCTTATTTAATTGGAATCAAATTTAAGGTGTTACAATTTTGGTATTAGAGCAGGCCTTTCTCCTAGTACGGTGTGGTTTGAGGCCGAACCATGCGGAAGCTGGTGGGCATGTGACTCCTAGGTGCTAGGCAAGGGCGGGGAGTGATCACCGGTGCAATGTGGCACCAACAAGGAGCGACTACTTGGCAGGCTTCCGGCGGTAAGGGGTACATGAATGAATCGAACTTACATCGAAATGAGAGGGGGATCCAAAGACTGTGTATACAGTTAAGGATAGCTTAAAGGAATTGATTAGGACTACCTATACTAACAAAATGCATTTACTTTTCGGTGACCTATCACTTAAGAACTCAAAAGTTAAGCGTGCTTAACTTGGAGCAATTATGGGATGAGTGACCTTCTGGGAAGTTCTCGGGAAGTGTGTGTTTGTAGGGACAGTCGTCAGTCCTGAATAAGTTGCTGGGCTGTTACAATAATAATGGTATCAAAGCAGTTCATCCAAACCAGATGGGGTATCTGGCTGAAGCGTCCAAGATAAGTGTTGATTATTTTGTTTGCCTGAATTATAATGTATAAATTGATCTAATATGCTGGAATGTGATTGCTGACTTGTTGTAGCTAGATTGAATATTAGAGGTAGAGGAGCTAGAGGCACCAATGACCTCATGGAACGCATGGCTCAGATTTTGGAAGCCATGGTGCATAATCAAGGCAGGGAGTTGGCTAAGTATAAAGGTTTATCTGTCTTCACTAGGCATGATCCTCCAAAGTTTGAGGGTGGATTCAACCCTGAAGGAGCTCAACGGTGGGTAGCTGATGTGGAGAAGATCTTCAATGCAATGGGGTGCCAAGAGGAGAACAAGGTTGCCTATGCCACCTACTTGCTGTGTAGGGAGGCTGAGGACTGTTGGAGGTTTGCTGGTCAGACCCTGCCACAATAGGATGGCTACATCCAGTGGGAGACATTCAATACCATCTTCCTAGGGAACTACTTTCCCCGAGATCTGAGGAAGCAGAAAGCTAGGGAGTTCCTTGAGCTGAAGCAAGGAAACATGACCATGGGGGAGTATGCAGCTAAGTTCCAAGAGTTGATAAAATACTGGCCTCACTATCAGTGTGGTGATGGAGAGGAGGATCTGTGTGCTCAGTTTGAGCATGGATTGAGGTCAGACATTCGAGCTGCGGTCAATGTGTTTCAACTGACGAATTTGCCCACCCTGGTGAGCAAGAGCAGAATCTTTGAAGCGAACTCAAGAGGGAAGATGGTGGACACTAGGGGAGCCAGCCCAGTGAGGTAAGATAGAAGAACCCCTAGGTTCTCAAGGGGACCGTATTTGGGTTCGAACAACTCTTAGTCTCGAGGGAGTTCATCTCAAAAGGGGAGTAGTGAAAGTGGTTCAAGATCAAGCTCTTTCAGAGGGCCGCTCAAGTGCTTCAGGTGTGGAGGGCCACACATGGTGAAGGACTGCCCACAGCCGAGAATAACTTGCAGCAACTGTGGGAAGTCAGGGCATGTTGCCAATGAGTGCTGAGCCGCTAAGAGAAGCGGTAGTGCAAGTGCATCCCAGAGGCCAGAATCAAGAGGAAGCACGGGGCCAAGTACAAGGCAGAAGCCGAGCATTCTAGGTAGAGTCTTTGCTATGAGTGGGGCGGAGGCTTCACAATCAAAGGAACTGATCCGAGGTAAATGTGTAATTAAAGGTAGATTACTTGATGTGTTATTTGACTTGGGTGCTACACACTCTTTTGTGTCTGTGGACTGCATAAAGAGTTTGAATTTGTATGTGACTGAACTGCCTTGTAATATTGTGGTGACTACCCCTATGGGTAAGCCGGTTGTGACGTCATGGGTGTGTTTGGGGTGTACAGTGATGGTGCATGGTAGGGAGTTCGAGGTGGACTTGATTTGTTTACCTCTTTCTCAACTAGATGCAATTCTGGGATGGATTGGCTTGCTGCCAACCATGTACTACTGGACTGTAGGGAGAAGACTTTGATCTTCAGTGCGACCATGACAGAGGTTCCAAGGCTTATGAGTCAAGGTGCATGGGAGAACACGGTGAACGCCAAGGCTTTCATGGTTATGTTTTCAATGGAAGCCGAAAGTGTAGTGGAGCTGGAGTATATTCCGGTGGTGAGGGATTTCTTATAGGTGTTTCCTAAAGATATTTATGAGCTACCGCTTGAGAGGGAGATCGAGTTTGCTATTAACCTCATTCTGGGAGCAAGCCTAATTTTTGTGGCACCTTACAGGATGTCACCTGTGGAGTTGGCGGAGGTCAAGAAGCAAGTAGAAGATTTGTTGCAGAAACAGTTTGTGAGACC